AATCTCAAACAACCCAATCAACTGATGGAGCAGCTGATTGATGGAAGGGAGTCAGCTGATAGATCTTTTATCTCTTTAAGCTGCTCTGGGCTGCCTACTGTTGCTGCTTCCTCTGCAAGCTGCTTTGCAACCTGCCTCCACCTCAGCTCCTCCTTTTCATGTTGTGTCTGACTTATCAATGTCATTTCTGTTGGTCATTGATGCTGCTCTGTTCTGTTCTTGTGGGGTCTTTGCTGATGCTCTCCCTGCCTAAGGCTTTTGATGTGGGCGCATGGAAGGGCAGGGTGGAGTGCTCTCTGACGTAGGCTTTCCATGTAGGCGCATGGAGGAGGTTTTCTGCGTGGGCCCTAGGAAAGGCAGAGAGGCCCCAGAACAGAGCCATACCACCAAATATAAAACTGCAAATGGAAATGAAGTTTTATTTGACTAAATTGTTCCTGACTGAATTACTGTTTATTTATCAGGAGTCTGGTGGGTTTGGCGATGGTGATTTCCAGGTTGTTTCTGGTTGAACAAAAAGTCTGTCTCTGCATGGATCCTTTCCACAACGATGTCAGATATGGACAATAACAATCTGGGCCTGTCAGTGGCAAAAACAAGCTTGTAAAAGCAAATCCCTGAGTATAGTGGATTAAACAATGCTGTGTTTGTTGCCAATTGATTCAACTTCTAATTTGTAAGAGGAAGCATGTGTTATATTCTCCTACTTTGCTCTCATTGCTCTTTCCAACTGTGACTGGTCCTCAGGGATAATTTTAGGAATAGTTAAACTATCTAAAAGTAAGGATGTGTGACACTCGGCAACTCAAAGCAAATCAATCTACATTAATAAAAAGCACTACAGGTATAAAAAACATGTCGTTTTGATTTTGGGGTGAACTGTCCCTTTAAATTCAAGAGTCGCGTTTATTTTGGTAATGGTGTGACAGTCTTTTTAACATGCTGCTCACAAACAAAGTGCAGTTATTTTAAAATCGAGGAAATCATTCAAAGGTTGTTGTGGCCTCTCCTGGCTGGTGAAGGAGGAGTTGAGCCTCTGAGGTCATAATGACCACAGAGGCTGACGTATTGCGGTAAGCGAGTTGTGTCATTTCCGGTGTTTCTGTGACAGCGTCTCTGTACTGCTCTGGTGAATTCTGCTAGCCTGCTTTCTCACTTCAGTTGCTTTAACGTCTACTTCAAGTCTTAACCCACACTGGTTCTGTTTAAGCACTTATAGCTCTCCTCCTTTCTACGACTTTCTCGCTAATCTCTTAGCTGTTGTTTGCACGTTACTAGCCTTGGTAGCTACATTAGCTTTACAGCTAGTGATGGCTTCTCCTTCTGCTCTTTCTTGCTCGGTGTGCCAAATGTTCAGTTATGCCTCTGCCTCCTTTAGCGACAGTGGTGATTGTAATAAGTGTAGCTTATTTGCTGCGTTGGAGGCGAGGCTTAGTGAATTAGAAGCGCGGCTCCACATCATGGAAAACCATTCAGTAGCTGCGGTAGTTAGCCAGCCCCCTGTAGCCGGTGCGGAGCCACATAGCATAGCCTTAGCCTCTGCTAGCGGTCCTCCGGCAACTCCCGTTCAGCCGGGAGGCTGGGTTACGGTTCGCCAGAAGCACAGCTCCAAGCCGAAGCCCACGGCTCACCACCAGCCTGTTCACGTTTCCAACCGCTTTTCCCCACTCAGCGACACACCCGCTGAGGATAAAACTCTGGTTATTGGCAGCTCTATTCTGAGGAACGTGAAGTTAGCAACACCAGCGGCCATAGTCAAATGTATCCCTGGGGCCAGAGCGGGCGACATTGAGTCAAATTTAAAACTGCTGGCTAAAGCTAAACGTAGATTCAGTAAGATTGTTATTCACGTCGGCGGCAATGACACCCGGTTACGCCAATCGGAGGTCACTAAAATTAATATTGCCTCGGTGTGTGAATATGCAAAAACGATGTCGGACTCCGTAGTTTTCTCTGGACCCCTCCCAAATCTGACCA